CATGAACATTATGATCCCAGCTAACAAAAACATGTTCTAAGAAGGTTTTGCTAATGTTCAAATTAAATTATGAAAATGTTATTTGTGAATGATCTCTAAACATTTAAAATGCCACATTTTTAATGTTTTAAAAACTTTTTTTCTTGGTTATGGGTTATTATTTTGCAAACATTATGGGAACATTACTTTTGAATGTTCTCTGAACATTTAGAAACAATAGTAACATTTAAAAAATGTTAAACCAATGTCCAACTAAAATGTTTCAGGAAAAGTTTCAATGAACAATGCATAAATAATATTTTAGTGCTACCATTTTAAGAAAATTTTGAAGACCTTTGAACTTTCAACATACACTTTGATAATATTAGTGGAAGAATGTTTGAGAACCTTATTAAACACTGTCAGCGCATCAAGGAACCCCATCCCAGCTAACAGTCTTTTTTGAGTTTTATTTCAGAACTCTCTGTTTTTAAAGGGCACCTAGAAGTTCTCCAAAGGGTTCCCCAGTAATAATAATGAATAATATTACAAAGACAAGAAAAATGTCAGAATTTGTGCTTACCAGTAATGGTTTACTGGTAAATAAATCAGTTCTCATTTTACATTTCACAGAACTCAGATGAGTTAAAATCTTTGCTCTTTTGGCTTTCTTCCTCAGGAGAGAATCGTTTGTCGGAGCTGTCATTCGAGGGCGGCTCAGGTGAGCTCATGCAGCCTCACGTCATTGATCAGGCCATCAACAGTGCGATTAGCTATTTGGGAGCAGAGTCCTTGCGGCCTCTGGTTCAGACCTCCCCTGGCTCCTCCGACATGGTGGTCAGCCCTATTTACAACCTCCACAAGACACAATCAGCTGAAGGCAATGGCGTGTCCGCTAAGGACAGCGCCGCAGAGCATCTCCTTCTGCTGTCCAAGTCCAAATCGGCCTCCGTGGAGAAGGATGGCTCGCCCAGCCCCAGCGGCCAGGACTCTACTGACACCGAGAGCAACAACGAGGAGCGGGCGGCTGGGGGAGGCACGGCGGCGGCCGCAGGGGGTCTCATCTACCTGACCAATCACATGGCTCCAGGTATGCGTAACGGAGGTCTGCCAGTGGTAAAGGAAGAGCAGCAGCGGCATTTCGAGGCCTTGCGGGCAGTGGGGATGGAGCTGACTATGGCGTCATCGGAGGGGTTTAAGGTGCTGAGCGGAGAGGGAGAAGAGTTGAGGGCTTACCGCTGTGTCCACTGCAGAGTTTTGTTCCTGGACCACGTCATGTACACCATCCACATGGGATGCCATGGCTTCCGAGACCCGTTCGAGTGTAACCTGTGTGGTTACCGCAGTCAGGACCGCTACGAGTTCTCATCGCACATCACGCGTGGAGAGCACCGCTTCTAACACAGTTAACACAGAGAGACGTTCCACATACGCTTGACTACACATTCACTCTCACACAGCCGATTCAACATTTCAGGATTTTTTTTAGACACTGTCCAAACACTGGATTTTTTTTTTTTTTTAAGTTTCGTGTAACATTGGTTTTTCTTTGTACATACAGTTGCCTATATATTTCGTTGTCTTGTCTATTTTTCTACGATGGTGTGACTTGTATGTAGACTTTAAAAAAAGAAAAAACTGTAACTGAAAATAGAAATTAGGTGTTTGAAAGTACATTTTTAAATCATCCCATATAAATGTGACTTTTTTGCTGCCCTAAAGTAACTAAGATGAAAAATAATAATAAATGCTAAAAATTAAATAAAGTTATCAAATATTATTTGCAATATGTGATGTAAACTCTTGTATCTCTCTTTCCTGTGTTCCAACAGTTTACTCTTCATTTTAAATATATATTTTTTATATTACGCAGCCTGAAGAAGTTATCATTTTATAATTTATTACAATGACATAATGTCACGATTTGTCCATTTTATGTAACATGACTCCCTTTTGAAATGTTCCCCTGTAAATTGAAAATATATGGCAGTACATATTGTTTTTTTAATTAAATTTCACAGCTTTTGTCCTTGCTTGTTTTATATTGCATTTACAAATACAGTTTAAATAAAGCATTTTACTCATACATATTTACATTAACATCCTAGAATATATACGCTTGCAAAAATAATAAAATATTTTACATTTGTTCAACCTTTGATAATGTGTCAAGTTTTGTAAAGGTAATTTTAACATTTAAATAAATTTGCTAATGGAGATTGAGTATCTCACAAAATTATGGAATGAAGTTTATATTCATAGATCAAGAACGTATGCTAAAATAATTAGTACAGAACTAATTATTAATCTTTATATAATACAGAATGCAAGTCCAAGCATCACACTTGTAGATAATCACTTTTTAGCTAAACAACTGAGCTAAATGAACATTAGCTAAAAGGTATTTGTCACCTTTTAGGCAATTTTGCATAAAAGACTGCTAAATTTACATAAGAATTTAAGAATAAAACCCAATACATCAATTACAACTAACTGAATAATTGCATTCTATAACTAAAATGATGCTAAAAAGTCTTCAGGCTGATTTCATTTGTAGGGTTGAAACAACATTTACAGCACTGTGAAGTAGCAAAAGAATCATCTAAATTATTTGCAGTCAGGCAATAATGGACATTTGTAAAAGTATGCAATGGCCAAAGGGAGGTGGAATAAACTAAAGAAGAACAGATCTGTCAAGAGAGCAAGAGTGAGCCCGACCCAAGAGCTCACCAGCTCTTCGCAATGACAACGACGTGTCCAGATGGCTGTTGTGTGATTGGGTAGAAACGGGAAGCAGCTGTGGCCAAAGCAGAGCCCCCACGCTTCAGTGGGACCTAACCGTGGAGAGAGTGCATTTGCATGAGAGGGATAATCTGGCCAACACCACCTCACACCACCCCATCCCCATCAGCCTCTATCCCGAATCTCACTTCTCTTTTCCGCTTCGACTTATGATAATACAGCACAAATAGACCCCACCCATTCAGAGAAACTTTAAAGATGTCAAAACCAAGTAATAAGAGACAAAAATAAACTGGTCAGGCAGAAAACTCAATGCCCCTTGTGTTTCAAACTCTACTGCCAGATTTATCATATGGATAAACTATTAAAATATTTTTTGTGAATTATGAGTAAATAAGTACGTTTATTGCACCCTATATGTACACTTAATATTAAAGACTATTAGATATCAGCATTATAGTGAACATTGGCATTAGCCATTTAATAAAAACAATGTCATGTCAGCACCAAAGGATATTTTCAAGGAAAATCTAAAAACTGTCTAAAAATAACAGTGAGCTTAAGACAAACTAGAAAATAAATGATGCAAAGGTTAATATTAGCTGCAGATATAGTGTCGAGAAAGGTTTTGGAGGAATTCTGTGTGCCTGTCCTCCTATAGTCCAGCTGCAGGCTACCCCTGCTGTTCTGACAGCCTTCCACTGCTCCTCAGGGAAGGACTTACTACTTGCACTGCTGGCTAATTTTACAAAGTTTCAACACTCCGGCCAACCGCACAACCCTAAAATATTCATTAAGCCGCTTGACAAAAAGATGAAAAATAAATGACACCCTTTTTTCATGGGCTTCCAGTTTTTATAAGATTGTTTCATGAAAATTACATGACTGATTCATTTCATGGGAGCACAATCTATAATCGGATGCAGATGAAGACAACCCAAGAGACAGAGTTGAGAATTGAATTAGACTGTTAAATCCCACTCGCCTTCTGAGGTGTATTAACAGTTCAGCCTGACTTCCCGTAAGAATGGTTTTGCAGTTGCAAGAAGCAACCAAATCAATCAGCCATCTCTCTTTCAATTTTCCCAGACTGCAGTCATCAGGTTTCACGTAACACAGACCTTGCGTTTCACTCTAACACAAATCAGTTGTACTTTGACGATGAAGATGTTATGCTAATGCATAGGCATACAAACAACAAACAGAAAGAAATTTCAGCGAAGCCAGTCTCATCCAAATAAAGTGACAGAATTCAAAGCCTACTGAAAATACAACTAAAAATCCAAACAAATGAATTCAAAACTGCATCATATTTTGTAACCTGACCAACACCATTCATGTTCAAATTCATTCATTCATTACTTTGTTATTTGGCCTTGGTGAGTTTCCTCACCACTGGACCAGCAACTTTTATTCCTCATGCCATCTGCGGCCACTCATTTAGAGCTCCACAATGATCCTCTCCATCCATCAACAGTACACGCATCAAGCCACAGTTGTTATCTGCTTCTATAATGCATAATTGTTTTTGTGAGGTTTATGGCTGGTGTCATCATCAATGGGTCTCTCTAAGAATTTATGAAAATAGCAACTCTGATGGTTTCCCACCAACTTTGAGTTCACCAGAAAACAACAGTATAAGAAAACAACACAAAAATAGATTCTCCTGTTCTGACAGAAAAAAAAGACTGAATATTGATCGGATGGCCATCTCTATAGGCACAATGTGTAACTGAAAAAAACTAAACCAACCATACTGTCCTCTAGGAGGAGGATGAAGAGTCCATCTTTAAAACCCCTTCCAAGGCACAAAGCCATTCCTCTGGTTTACCAGATGTGGTTCGAGACCACACTGGCTTAGCAACAGGAAGAGCACTGCAAGAGTTGATCTGTGGGTAACTCTTATCATGAGACCAGAATGCCTGCAGTGTTGCCCAACTTCCCCTCCAAATCCATTCACCAAGGCACAACACAATGGGAGAGTTGGCCCTAAGGTGTCTAACGCTCTGTCTATACAGGAGCGAGAGCAGGTAAACATGGAGAGCCGTTGAATTTATTCTGCACACACAGAAGGTAGGGCAGGCAGAACATTGTACTAGCTGACAGTTCCCTTTTGGATAAGTGCATTCAGAAGGAAACAACAAACTCAAGACCCCATTTTACTTTTTAGTGCAAACTTGGCACATTTCCTATATATTACAAGGAAAAGAGTTGCAGCTCCACTCTGTGATGCAACTGCTTTCAGGAAGACACAACTGTGGTATGCTAATTTTGAGGGAAGGCCTAGAGTAACAAGCTCAGTTTTACAAAATCTTGAGTGCTGTTTTGAGTCAATCAATTGTGGCTGCATGAATACGAATGCTTAATGTGAAACTGCAGAAATGTCAGTTTTTTTTGCAATCACAAAAAACAGAGAAGAATGTTCTTCTCACAGCTCTCTGAGAAGAATGTTCATGAAAACGATGAAAAAAGACTCAAATTGACAATTTATTTCAAGAAATGAACCCAACATTATAGTCACGCTAACGTAAAACTCAATTGATATAATCAGAACACATGCACTCAGCGACCACAGCCAAATGTCTTGTTCCACTCTTCATATGACTCCAGATCTTTAGAAGAGACACTGGGGCGCACTGTTTTGAGAGCCTCCTGGAAGTCACTGTAGAGTATCGGCCGAACCTGTTCTGCTGAGATTGTAGCAATGTCACTTAGACTAATGCTTCGAATGGGGCCTAGGGCTGCTTCGCAACACAGCTGTGTCATATCTGCCCCTGAAAAGCCCTCTGTGCTCTGCACCACTTTCTCCATCTCATCTGCTCCCAGCTGGCTTTTCTCATGGGACATGAGGTTAGTCACTATCTGCCGGCGAGCCTCAGCCTCTGGGAGAGGTATGTAGAGTCGCTTAGCCAGGCGACGGCGAGCTGCTTCATCGATCTCTTGTGGCCGGTTGGTGGCACCAACAACCAGGATGCGATCTTCTGCTGAGGTGGCGGCTCCATCCAGCTGGACAAGAAATTCGGTTTTGATCCGACGGGAAGAGTCGTGCTCTCCATCTGTGCGTTGAGAAAGAAGGGAATCGATCTCATCAATAAAGATGACGGCAGGTTGGTGGCACCGAGCGATGGCAAAGAGCGCCCGTACCATCTTCTCGCCCTCTCCAACCCACTTTGAAGTGAGTGACGAAGCGCTGATGCTGAAAAAAGTGGCTCCCGACTGACACGCTATGCACTTCCCTATAAGGGTTTTACCAGTGCCTGGAGGACCAAAGAGAAGAATGCCTTTAGGTGGACCTCTAAGGCCAGTAAATATATCAGGTCTTAACATGGGCCACACTACGATCTCTTTGATTGTGGCTTTGGCAAACTCCAGGCCGGCAATATCATCCCAAGCTACCGGGGGGCCATGGTCCATGATCTCACCCATGATAAGTTCAATGATTTTGGGCTCAAAGTTCTTTAGTCGCTCATCAACAGGTTGCATGTCTTGTGGTGCGTATTCCTTCGAGTTGCCCTCTTCCTCTTGCCTTGGCATGGGAGGGACGAATTTGGAGGCCACCCCACGAGACCGATTCGCCCCAAGGCATTTCTTCGTGATTGCAGCAACGTTGGCCGCGGAGCCTCGCTGACCCTGATGGGAATGCTTTTTTTGCTGGTCAACGATGAACTGCTCTTGTGCTGATCTAAAATTAGTGCTGACACCTTCCTCTCCTCTCCGTCCCCTCTCTCGCGGTTCCTGCTCGCCTTGTGACGGGAATGAGCTTCTGTTGCTTTCAGTTCCTGAGCTGTAGAAGTTCTTCCTCTTGGAGGGGTTTGTGGAGGAACAGAACACGGGCTGATTATGCACATTGGATCCACTTGTGCAACCCACACTAGACTGAGACACACTAGCATTGCCTGTGGAACTGAAAATGTTATGGCCAAACATAGGCGTAGATCCTGTTGGAGCTTTTGGAGCATTTTGTGCCAGAGACATACGAGGAGGGGCTACTTCAAGTGCTCTGGCCCACTCTACAGCACCGCTAAGTGGGTTACTGACCCCCCTTCCCAACTCAGCTCTAGGTGGAGGCGCAGCGGGCCCATGAGCCAGAGGCTCTCGTTTTAATCCAGGAGGAGGACCAGAGACAGCACTGCCTTTCTCATCTCCCCTGCTGACTTCACCACCAACAGTGATGTTAACATCTGCCGGATCTACCAGGAGAGAGCCTTCTTTTGACCTGGCCTGCATCATCCGTTGCACGCACGGCAGGTTGAACACATTTTCAAACGTTAGGGACGACTCCCATTTGTCACTATGGTTCTTTTGATTGCGGGCCAGGTGCAGGGCACTCTCTGCATAGTTGTTTAGCCCTGTGAGTGGGTCGTCTGAGTCCAGGACTGCGGTGTACCACTCCGAGTAGGTCCTGAGCAGGCTGGCAGCTCCGGCCGGAGAGAGCTCAGCACTCGCCCATGCATACTGAATGGACAGGACGTGTGCCCGGTAAGCATCGGCCGTCTGTTCAGGTGTACAGGAGCCAGACGAAATGTCAAAGGACCTCCTCTGCCACTCGTCCAGGTGTGCTCTGCTCATGCCTGGCCTGCTCCAGTCTGCATAAGAAGTGGGCACAGGATCAATTAATAATGTTTTAAAAAAAGAGAAGTACCACACAACAATAGCATGGAAATTCTTCTAGGGCTGAGCGACAGCAAATATTCATGTTATTTTCATAATTGTATAAAATATGATATAAAAAAATTAAGCAACTGTGAATATCATAATAACTTACACACTTAGGTGGCAATTAGGTTTCCTGTGTGACTTTTGAGAACTGTTTTAGTGAATCAACTCAAAACTGATTAATTTTCATTATGACACAAAAATAAAAAAAACTGTCACAACTTATGTATTAAAAACCATGTTATATATATATATATATATATAATGAATATTAACGAAAATATCACTCTTCCCTGTGTTCATTTATGTGATGAACAGTGTGGATAAAATGTCTTGATCATTTTAATGGTATTATACCTTTTGCATTAAACCATTTTTGAAACATTTTGACTTTGCTACAATGTCACGATTGGTATATATTAAATGTCATCAAAAGGCAGAAAATAACTGACATATAGCCTGTATTTTCTTCATTCTGTATTGCCCAGGCCTACTGTCTTGATAAGTGAGACAGTCATTTATAAGTATATACTGTATAAATTACATCTAATGACAGCAACCAGTAAGTTACACTGGATATATATGTATGCACTGTATGTATGTATGCATGTATAGAGAGAGAGAGAGAGAGAGAAATAGTATAAAGTGCAATACCAGTCAATATTTCAACATGCTTGTCTAAATTTTTTTCTCATAATCTTAAAGATCTTTCAATCATAAGACTTATCAAAACTTTGAAATTAGGTTTGTAGACAAATATAAAGTGTCTGTATATCCATATGAGTCTTTGCAAAACGTAGAAAAATTTATTCTTTAATAAATAAATAAATGCAAAAAAAAAAAATGGATGGGTTGGGTTGGGCTTGATGAGGAAAAACAGCCAAGAGTAGACCATACATGTGAACTTATTCAAGTGTTTAAAAACATGTCTGTACACGATTCCTGTGACTTGGCGCTTTTTCGTTGTTTTGATGGCTTATTGTTTTAAATTGTAAAATATGTTCATGACAAAGAATAGACATGCGTGTATAAACGCTTGAATTTGACTTTACTAACAATAATTTTAAGCATGCCCACACAAACGTTAAGTGACAGTAAAGTAATACACGAAAACCCACTTTCACACGAACTATATTAATGTACTAAATGACGATCTTACGAATAGTGTCTCAGCGGGTATTAACACATTGTCCCAGTAGGAAATATGTGCAGCATATTCAGAAAGACAGGACAACGTTCTTTTATCTTAAATCACAAATACCGCTTCAAACACACTCCCGTGTTCGTTTTGGGTGAGGAAAGCAGAAACCTACCTCTGGGTTAAACGTATTTCTTGTGTGTAAATGCTGTAAAGATCAGAAATAGCTGAAAGTCTATACAGCGATGTGAAACAAAACAACCATAACCTTGACCAAACCTCGCGCCTCCTGCATGATCTGCGCCGATCCACGCAGCTTCCGGTCGCTGCATACTAAGATCACGCGCGTCATCGCCTGGACAAACACACTCACTGCGAGTCCTACAGGTTCACGTTTTTCTTTTTATTTCACATTTCTCAATAAAAATAAATAAATAAATAAATAAATCAATCAAATAAAAAAATAAAATAAAATAAAATAAATAAATAAATAAAATAAAAAAAATAAAAATAAAATAAAATAATAAAATAAAATAAAATACAAAATAATATAAAATAAAAGTGGTCCGTAGATAGATGAAATAGATTATAGATTATTGAACACTTCTTTTAATTTTTCGTTTTAATGTTCATTTGATTATACTGATTTCTCTAATGTCATTTGTATAACACTGAACACTGATGTCCCAGTAAATTAATAAATGGCAATTTCAGTGCTGCTAACATATTTATTTAGCCCAGTTCTGAAAATCACGTTGACTGTGATACTCACAAAAGTATGATTATAAAAGTTTTGATTTTGATTGCGTCTTCAGTCTTATTCTAGAGACCTTGATAGCACTTAAAAAAGAGACTTCATCAGACCAGACGTTATGATAACATTGTAAAGATACGGTTCTCCATGTTCTCTATTTACATTTCCGCCCCATTAGAAAAACAGTTTGTTGCTAAATCACAATTTTGACATCATATAACCATATTAATCACACAGACTTAAGAGATAAAAAGATATATGTCATATTTACCACTTAAATTATGAAAAAAAGAAATTATGAAATGAATTATGACATAAAAGCCTTGATAGCACTTAAAAAAGAGACTTCATCAGACCAGACGTTATGATAACATTGTAAAGATACGGTTCTCCATGTTCTCTATTTACATTTCCGCCCCATTAGAAAAACAGTTTGTTGCTAAATCACAATTTTGACATCATATAACCATATTAATAACACAGACTTAAGAGATAAAAAGATATATGTCATATTTACCACTTAAATTATGAAAAAAATAAATTATGAAATGAATTATGACATAAAAGCTATATTTATGAAAAGTAAACAATATTAGCCTACATAAAATGTCAAAATTAAGGAAAAATGTGTATCATATGAAAAAAAAATCATATGTATGACATACGGCATAAAAAGTATAAATTATTACATAAGTCATAATTATGACATAAAAGCCGAATTTATAACACAAAAAGTCTCATATCATAATTTCGACTTTTTATGTCATAATTATTATTTACCGAAATATAATTTTTCCTTATATAATTTAGCAGCCTACATAATTTTTGCTCTGAAGATCATGACAATTGTTCCAATATTGCCAAAAAAATTTCTTTATAGCTAAAACAGACTACAACGTCTTTATCGTTAGCAGCATCTGTCGTGCTGTTGAACATCAGCAAGGCTGTAAGGGCTGTAATGTACGTCCCTTATGTGGCACAAAACTACAGTACCCACAAGTCTGTGCGGCGTGCGTGCGTTGGCTCCCAGCGGTACGTCACATCACGAGCGTGTTGGGATAAAGAGGCTTCAACTGGGGATTTAAACTGCTGTCTACTGTCTAGACGACTACAGAGGAAGCGAGGAATTAAATGCGTAGTTATATATTCGACATCTATTCTTGGACTCTGTACTGCGCTAGCCTATTACCGGGCTGTGTTTTAAAATATGCTGTTCATAGACAACCATAGGAAGAGAGGAAGCTAGCGTAGACTGTTAGCTGCGAGAATCCAGAAGGCAAATCCTTCAAGAGTCACACCCTACTATTCACTGCGGGTGACTTCCAGATGCCCGGCCCTGCTTTTCTGTCTGGATCACAGCGCGACTATTTACTGTAAAGATCTCTGTGCAAAAACAACTAAGAAGCATCAAGAAAGTCATGTATGTCCGGTTTCGGTCTACTTTGTTGGGAGACAGATAACGTTAGTCGGCTAGCTAGTGTGTGACCATCATCACTCCTCTGGGCTTTTAGCAGAAGACTGAGGAATATGAGTTCACCGATGTACACGTTTGTTTTGAGAGATGATAACAGTACTGTGTATGCCGAGGTCGCCAAGATCCTCATCTCTGCTGGAAAATGGAAACGACTGAAGAAGGACAATCCTCGGTTTAATTTGATGCTGGGAGAGAGAAATCGGCTGCCTTTTGGACGTCTGGGTAAATGATTTCAACAAGAGCTGCATATTAAACATGCATTGCCATCTTATAACCCCATGCTGTATACATGTTTGCATTGAAAGTTATGAGTCTCAGCAAGTTGTTATAATACTCCTAACGTCTGCATATTTTCAGCACATCGTGCTGTATTGGAGACTTTGGAAAGTACAAGCTGTTAAATTAATGATAACGAATGATGAAACCACTATTAATAATTGAACACTGGACACATCAATGCTGATCACAAAGATTCAACTCTATAATGCATTCGGTAAAACTTTAAGGTGTCCTTGTTACACATGTTACATGTACTTACTTTTATAATAACAATAAATTATGTATAATTACATACAAGTAACCCTAATCCTAACCCTAACCATGTAAGTACTTGTAGTTAATTAATAATACTCTGTACTTAAATGTATAATCACACTGTAACAAGGACACCTTTAAATAAAGTGTAACTGCATTCCTGCTGAGCTGTAACTGTAGTAACATGTAATTATGTTGACATCAACTTAAAAGAATGTGTACTTAAAGTACACACACACACACACACACATATACACACTACTGTCAAAATTTTGAAAAGATTAAGGATTTTCAAGGGTGCATTTATTTAATCAAAAATACAGTAAATCAGTAATATTGAGAAAAGTTATTACAATTTAAAATAACATCTGTTTTCATATACAGTATTTAAAAAAATAATTTATTTCTGTGATGCAAAGCTGTATTTTCAGCATCATTACTCCAGTCTTCAGTGTCACATGATCCTTCAGAAATAATTCTAATATGCTGATTTGCTGCTCAAGACACATTTCTGATTGTTATTTTATTGTTTTATTATAATTGTTGTTGAGTTACAAAATTGTATTTTTAGCTGCAGGACACTGCCTTCACTGCTCAATATTTCGATATTTCAATGTCAAATACAATGTCCTCTACAGGTCATGAACCAGGACTGATGCAGCTGGTGAATTATTACAGAGGAGCCGATAAACTTTGCCGCAAAGCTTCACTGGTCAAGTACGCGGTTTATTTAAAGATATATTAGATGAAAGAAATTCATGTTCAGATTTACTGTATAACCTCAGTTGACTTTAATGAGATCTTTAAAATGATCTTATGAGTGATAATGTTTGCATAATGGAGTGTTGTCTTCAAATCACACTTATTTCCTTTATACCATGTCATAGAGTTAGAAACTCTGCAGTTCATAAGTTGTGAATTATATTTAAATAAGCATGTTCGATGTTTAGGATTATCAAGACCAGTCCAGAGTTAAAGGACTCTTGTAACTGGTTCCCTGAGTCTTACATCATATACCCAACCAACCTCAACACCCCAGTGGCCCCGGCCACCAATGGCATCAGCCACATGAAGAGCAACCCAAAGACAGATGAGCGGGAGGTCTTCTTAGCTTCATATAACTCCAGAAAGGAAAGCGGAGAGGGAACGGTGTGGATCGCCAAGTCATCAGCAGGTGCCAAAGGTACAAATCTCCATCGGTCTAAAATGCCAAGTTTAAAGAAGTGTAATCTTGCTACACGATTTCGTAGTACGAGATTATTGCTCCCTTTGTTCAGGTGCAGGTATATTGATATCTCATGATGCGAACCAGTTGCTTGAGTTCATCGATAATCAAGGCCAAGTGCATGTCATTCAGAAGTATCTGGAAAGACCACTGCTGTTGGAGCCGGGCCATCGTAAATTTGATATAAGGTATGATGAGATGTATAATCCTTCGTGCAGAATGTTTTCGATGTGATTACAGAAAAGCATAGAATTGCAATGCCCCATCCTAATGAAGTCAAAGCACTTATAAAATCTTGTCTGTAGGAGTTGGGTGCTTGTAGACCATCAGTATAATATCTACTTGTACCGTGAGGGAGTGTTGAGGACGTCTTCTGAGCCCTACAACAGCTCGGATCTGCAGGACATGACCAGTCACCTGACCAATCACTGCATCCAGAAGGAGCATTCGCAGAATTACGGCCGCTTTGAGGAGGGCAACGAGATGTTCTTTGATGAGTTCAGACTGTACCTGTTGACCACACACAGCGTTGCCATGGAAACATCTATTTTACCTCAGATCAAGCATATCATCAGGTGCTCCTTCACCTTGTTTTCAAATCTGATTGCATGTGTGCCTGCAAATTGAGTTATATAGGTAGAAAAATAGATTTTTTTGTGTTAGAGATGTACAGTGGGGTCCAAAAGTTTTACTTTTTTACATTTGAATTATTCAAATGTAAAAGTTTTTTTCCCCCTTACAAATCAGTGTCATTATTGTATTACATTGTATACTATTATAGTATTTCTTAATATTTTGAATCGACCTTTATTATTATATTGTTTATTTAAATTCAAATTTGTGTAAATCTATGTGCTTTTATTATTTGTTTTCAGTTTTAGTACTTTGACTTAAACTTATTTTATTTGAGTTAGTTGATGTTTATTTTGTTTCAGCTGTATTTCAATGAACAAAAGTGATCTTTAATAGTTGTAGTCAGCAACGCTGTTGCAAATTACATTACAGCTTACAAATGTCAGTGAAAATTGTTGAGAAATAAGAAACAAGCTGACATGAAATTCACAAGAAGAATTAGTGCAGAATCTTGAATATTTCCTACTCATTTTGTCACTTCTCTGTTTTAAATGTTTACATTTATGCATTTGACTAAGGCTTTTATTCAAAGAGATTGCATTGCATTCAAGGTACACAATTATTATAATTAGTTTTTTTTTAAATCAGTTATTGCTTTCCTTGGAAATCGAACCTGTTACCTTGGCATTTCTAGCACCACACTCTACTGTTTGAACTAAAACTAATGCAAAATGAATAAAACAGATTTTCACTCAGATATTTGCACCCCACTATATACTGGCAATGTGACCTTCAGT